TGGCTGTGCAGGGGTTTCAACAGACTGGATCCCAAAAGCGGTAGCCTTTGAACTCTTGGTTAGCATCATCACCATCGTATCCCATAAAAATACCTCGAGCTGCTCTCTTATCAAGCTTCTTACGAAGCTCACCTGGTATGTGTCTGAATGCTACGCATCCAAACACTCGTACATGACTGACATCTGGCTTTTTGTTATATAATGCTTCATATGGTGTCTTGTTGCTGAGTGCTTTCGTGGCCAATCTGTTGTTGAGATACACTGCTGTTCTGATCGCCTCAGCCCACCACACTGGTGCTAGCTTTGCCTCGAATAGCAATGATCTGGTCATTCCCCCCAATGTCTTGTTGAATCTCTCAGCTACACCATTTTGCTGAGGAGTATGCGGAGTCGTGACCCAGTGAACCAATCCCTTTTTCTTCATGTAAGTCTTCATCTTCTCGTTTATGTACTCTCCACCATTATCAGTATGCAGCTTCTTGATCTTTTTGCCAAATTGTGTTTCAAACAGTTGGAAGAAATCTTTAATCACTTCAAACACATCTGACTTCTTCTTTAGAGGATATACCCAAGCAAACCTAGTACAGTCATCAATAAATGTCACACCCATAGTTCTACCACCGTATGATGCCTTAGACATAAAGAATACATCAGAGTGGATGACATCTCCTGGATACAAAGCTCGAGACTGTTGTTTCTTGCTGCATCTTAGCTTCTACACAAGCATCGCAGTCATCACTCTTGTAGGCGTCAATTACTTCAGATGTATTGTTGGACCACATTTTGGCTGAATCTACCAATCTCTCATAGCCAACATGACCAAATCTGAAGCAAAACTGAAATCAGTATCTGCCTAGAACAGCTCAGCGAATACGCTCTGCAGGGGGGCTCACCCAAACTGCAACACCCTCCCACGCTGAAGATGATCTAGGTGATCCCCAGTCCTGCCGAATATGTGATTTAAATGTGGAAGTAGGAGAATCGACCCCATGCATTCCTGATGATGTGGCAGCGGGAGAGTATATCGACCTAGGGCTCCAAACGTAGGCTCATTTGAATAGAGCGGATGTATAAGCGACAAGCTGTGGGCTCATAACCTGAAGCAAAACTGAAATCAGTATCTGCCTAGAACAGCTCAGCGAATACGCTCTGCAGGGGGGCGCACCCAAACTGCAACAAAATCTCTTATGTGTTACATGCTCCATATCACTTGCCGCACAACAATGATGGTGGTCACTAGCATTATGGTTGTCATATGGTACGATGTTGATTTCATACAATGCTGTTTTCATCATAATTGTGATTGGAGACGCATCTTTGGCAGTTGTCAAAGTGACCTTGTTTCTGCTAAACTTTACGTCCTCTCCACTATCAAGAGCTAACTGTCTAGCTGATAGTAGATTACGACCCAAGTTTTCTACATACCAAACGTTGTTGATTGTTGAACCTGTACTATTGTTGTCGTCCAGAATAATACAGCCTTCCAATACACCGTATTTTGTTGCAGTAAGTACTGTATTTCCAATACCTTTAATCATCTTTGGAGTCAACAAGGATTTGACATTCTTCAACAAATCTATAGTGCCGGTCATGTGGTTGGTGCAACCAGAGTCTACAATCCAGAGACTTTCACCTGGATTTACTTCAGTACTCATATACGCTGCCGATACATCACTATCACTCCCTTCCGCAGCTGTCGCGGCCTCATCTACTACCTTCTCCCTACATTGATAAGCTTTGTGACCCTGCTTTCCACAAGCAAAACAGTTTCCCGTATATGGCCTTCTGGCTGGATCTCCACCACCACCACGACCTCGGTTGCTGGCTCTAGCACGAGCACGGTAAGCACCTCTATAGTTTGAGCTCGACGCCAGAGCACTAGCATCTTCTTCATTTGTCTGACTCTTCTTTGCTGCATAGAGACTTTCATAGTTCTGAGCTGCGGCCACAAGTTTATCGAAGTCCCATTCTCTATCGTCTTGAGTAGTTTGACCAGACTTGAAATGGTCAAATGACTCATCATCCAAACCAAACAAGAATGTCACAGCCATAGTCTTTTTCAGCCACCAATTATTCCATTCTTCACCGTCTTCAAGGGCCATAGTGGCAAAGACATCATTTAAGTCAGTCACTAAACTACGGATGCTATTGGAGTACTTTACTACCGATTGCTGGTCCTGTTTGGTGCGAATCAATTCACTCCAAATGGTAAACAATCTTCCTTTGTTTTGAGGTACATACTGTACTTCAATTGTCAACCATATTGTAAAAGCATCCTTCCCATCCCGAATACTAGAATAAATCTCGGACTTTTGATTGACATTCTTCAGAATGAACATTCTCGCTGTTCTATCATTCCTAATCCAAGCAGCAAGTCGTTCAGCATAGTCCTCCACATTTGCACCTATGGTTGCAGCTGGCCCTGCTATAGCCTCTCCTCCTATTGGAACTACTGGTACAGCCGGAGTTGAATCCACGGTAACACCACGATGAGCTACGTCACCCCTGACAGGCTTCAATGTCGTTCCAACGACAATATCCCATAAGTTGAGGTCTTCCAATTGTAGCTTTACAAACGAAGCCCAATTTCTATACTCGTTCACTGTTGTCGACTTATCACCAAGTCTTTGGTATTTGTCGTCACCCATGACTCCAAATTAGCACTTTTGAGAAAAATCTTTTCCTCAGCTTTCACAAGTTGTAATCGACTAGTTCTTGAACCGTGGGCTCATAACCTGTGAACTATCGACCAAGTGTTGTGAACAGATGGTTATATATTGTAAACTGGTGCACTTACCTATCGACCAAGTGTTGGGTCGAGTAGGTTTGGGTGTCACCATTACATAATATATATACGTGACTCATTCACACACACTAACACCTGTTGGATGTTTGAAGGTACAACGTGAATTCGCGCAGTAGTACTTCTGGCACTCCGGGTAACCACCTCCGCGCAACGACAACGGACACAGCTGGATATGGCCGTAATGAGCTATTCCGTCTCGTACTTGGCGTCTCAAGACGTTCTTTTGGATCTTTGAAGGTACAAGGTCAGGTGAATCCCCCCTAGTAGTTTTTTTAGCACTCTGGGTATGCACCTCGACTCAACGGCAACCTCAAAAGCGGCACACGTCCATTATGAGCTATTCTACATCGTAGTTAGCGTCTTAAACTGTCCTTTTGGATATTTGACGGTAACAGGTAAATTTACCTGGTAGTATTTTTAGCACGCTGGGCACGCAACTGGGCTCAAAGACAATAGAAGCAGTTTCACACACTGGTAAGGTGCTACGTGTTCTACGTGTTCATGTGATCCGTGTTGGTGTGTGTGAATGAGT